TTACTTACACTAACAGAATTGTACAACATTCTTCGTGACTTGATTTACTTACACTAACAGAACTGTACAACATCCCTCATGACTTATACTAACAGAACTGAAGAACATCTCTCATGACTTGACTTTCTTACACTAAGAGAGCTGTACACCATCCCTCATGACTTGCACTAACAGAACTGAAGAACATCTGTCATGACTTGACTTACTTACACTAAGAGAGTTGTACAGCATCCTTCATAGCTTGAGTTACTTACACTAAGAGAATTGTGGTACAACATCCCTCATGACTCAGCTTACAATGACAGAGCTGTACAATATCGTCATGATTTGACTAACTTACACTGACAAATGTTAGGGCTCCTGATGTCTAGGTTCGGGTCTTGGTAGAAGAAAGGCTTGCATTGTTCACAGTTTCTTCCCATGGTATTGTGTTCACAGTCATCACACACCCCACCACTCACTCTGCCAGTTACTTCCCACACAGCTGGATCAAAGTGACATCTAGTGGCATGGTTATTGCATTTGCATTCTACAAGTTGCCGTAATGGATAAAGAATAAATATCAGGCAATTGAAATATAATTTCTGAAATAAACAAGTCCTTATATCTATAATTAAGATATCCTAATAAACAGAAAATAATGTCCAAACACATGGTAATTTATTGTTGGGCAACCACAGAATTCCATTAAATAAAACCAAGGTGTTCTGAAATTCTGAAAGAGAATATTTTACTTAAGTTCATAAAAATAATATTTCTAGAAACCTCACAAAGTTACTGCATTTAAATACTCCAGCAAACTACTTCGTTCCTTACTAATGAATTGGCAGATAACAATTTATAAACATGAAGTGGTTTTATTTTAGGAGAACATACTAAACGTTTTGACAGAACATGGGTCCATCTTCTTCAGGTCAATTTACTTTTATATTAGCACAGTGTACTTCCATATACAAGTTCTTCATTCCTTAAAAACTATAAGGTTACTACAATACATCACAAGACTCTGTAAAACAATCAGATCTATACCTTTCACAAGTTCCTCTACACTACTCTTGTATAAGTCAACATATCACTACATCCAAAGACTTCAAACAGCAAATCTGTCATCACACAAGACTACTGTGTACCAAGAGTCCACAAGACCAACCTCAAGACCTCAAACAGCAGATCTTAATCACACAAGACTACTGTGTACAAACAGCCCACAAGACCAACCTCAAGACCTCAAACAGCAGATCTTCATCACACAAGACTACTGTGTGCAAACAGCCCACAAGACTAATCTCAAGACTCCAACAGCAAATCTGTAGTCCCAAAAAGGCTACTGTGTACCAACAGTCCACAAGATCAATCCTATGACTCCAAAAACGTATCTGTAGTCTCACAAGACTACTGTGTACCAACGATCAACAACACTAATGCACAAGACTGCTAATTCCTGATATTTTACAAGATTACTAAATCCTGAAAACCTACAGGAAAAGTACCCCCAGCAATTAGACAAAACCTTCAGTTTATAAGTCAGCAACAGCCCAGTGAGCTCTGAGACACATTACAACAACTAACTAAAGCTCTTGTGGTTCAAACATCACAAGATACTACTTTCAAATCTTATTAAAACATTCCAAGACATTGTGTTCTAATCTTACTAAACACAATACACCATTTTGTAAGCTATAGTAGCAACAGTGATCACAAGACTGTAGTTACTGAAAACTCTGTTATTGCTGAACATAACGTTGACAATACCATTAGCTACAGTTAACAACAGTGATCACAACATTTTAATTAGTGAAAGTTAACATTTTCTTAATCGAAAATGTATTTCCAATAATACTTACTTTCGCTCACATTACAGCTATTACTCAACTGCCAGGGTTTCTTTCTTTGCCCATCTAAGCATTGGTCTGATTTTTTCTTGCTTGCTTCAATCTTTTATACCCCACTTAACTGCCCTTGGCGATATTTGTCTCGTTACACTCTTTATCTATGATAATATACATTCTATCCTGGTACTGTATATAATCACCTCATTCACATAATGTTACCATTTTTTCCAGACTGACTCAATCCACAGTCTCTAATGTCAAGTGGGGAGGAAGGGCAGAATAGTGTGAGAAGGAGGTAAGTATTATTGGAAATACACTTTCGATTTAAGAAAATGTTAACTTCATAAACATACTTACCTCCTCTCACACTACATCACAAGAACTACATCTGGAACTTAATTCATGTACTGTGGGTGGAACTTTACATGATTTATCATTTCTATTGACCAGGCTCCAACCAAATAGTCGAGGATCCACTGCTCTGGGTTGGAATTATAGGACCATGGTCCCTATTTTACACGTTGGAGGCTAGAGCAATTGGACCACAAGATATATATATGTATCTTTACACTTATGAGTGGATCCCAACCTGTTGCCATAGAGTGGTGCCTTTCAAGCCACTGGAATCACGATGAGAAGGTAAGCAACACTGAAGTAGGCAAACCTTTTCCTCAACCTGAAGATGTAAGAAAGGCAACACCCAAGGCTTAGATTCATGGGAGTTTGTATGTTTTACTCAAACTGAGGAAACATAGCACGCCTGGTATGGAATTATGAACACTCGCCCTCAATCCCCAACCATGTGGGCAAGGAGCATTCCAATTTCCCCTGGAATTATGGAGTGGACATGGAACAAACTGTGTTCAACCAAGGACCCATTTGGAATTACGAGGAGATAATGGACTCTCCATGAAAAATGTACAGAACCAATATTGATCAAATAGAAGGGCCATGCTCTACCCAATCAGATAGCCAAGCATCAAATTTGAACCGGTATTACGAGTAGGCTCCTGCATAGGCTGGTGCCTCTCCTAATGATATCTGGGAAAACATCCTGGAACCTTTGCAGAAGGGCCCCCAACTTTGCCCTTTTCTTCAACAGTCGAGTAATTCACTCTAAAACACTCTGGAGGAAAAGCCTCTGTCTGCCACCCCAGTAAATGGAAACTGGGTGTTGTAAGGACTTTCTAGCTCCACTAGTAGAATCTGGGGGTTAATGCATGTTGGGAAGTCTTGAGGGACAGTGCTCTGGCAACAGTGCAATAGATGAACCAAGTTTCCTAAATTTTTAAAAGCAAAACGACCTTGATTTATTCAATCCGATGATCAGCAGGAACAGGTAGAATCCCTTTTAGCTTTACTCATGGTGGTCCATGAGTAGTAGTCTATGATAATATAGTAATACAGTCTAGTAAGTGCCAAGATGGTCTTATGGAACACCTCATTTCTACCAGAGCCTGTTGCAACCGGTAGTAAGTATAGTCAAATGGGTTGCTAGTGTAGAATTGGACTGATAAAAGTATACCTGTCTGGGCAACACTCACCACAGAATGGGATCCAGTGAAAGCAAGATGTAAAGGATCCTGGATATGAAATACAAGATAATATTACTCCCTCCTGCATATAGTCTAGCAAATGTTGTTCAGATGAATATGGGGGTAGTGGAAAGGTGTGGTAAAGACTCCCTAGCTCCATTAGTAGAATCCGGGGGGTAATGCATGTTGGGGAGCCCTGAGGAACAGTGCAAAAATTGAACCAACTTTCCTAAATTTTTAAAAGCAAACTGATCTCGATTTATTAAATCCAATGATCAGCAGGGACAGGCAGGATCCCCTTATGTTTTATTCATGATAGTCCATGAGTGGCAGTCCAGCATAGTACAGTAATACCCCCCAGTCAGCCTCTAGATGGTTTTATGAAACACCTCATTTCTACAGAGCCTGTTGCAATTTAGATAAAATATACTGAATTAGTGTTTGCAAGTGCAGAATTGGTTTGATAGAAACCCATCTCCCTGGGCAACACTGCAGTAACTGACCCTTGTGCACAAAAACATATCGATAGTGGTGGGATGTCACTACTATGGTAATGTGCAAATAGTAGCCGACTACATCGAACTTGGACATCCGCAATCCTACTAAAAATGCCAACTCAGAGTGAGGAATGAGTCACTTGTGACCCTTGGAGAATCTTGATATAGACAAGAAAGATCAATGACTGGAAACCAATCTCCTGTCTTTTTAGGCCCAAAATAAAACCCTGGAATAACTAGATCGACTCTCTCTACCCACAGACCAACCAAACTCTGATAGCCATAAAACTAAGACCCAAAATCCAAAAATCGGTGGGAGATGGAAACCCTACAAGTTGGGTAGGTAATGGTGGTGAAGATGTGAATTGAATGACTAATCTTGACTCAAGGACCTGTAGTACCCATTGATCAGTGGTTAATGTCACCACATATCCAAAAATACTCGTAGCTGAGCCACCACAGACCCAAAAGGCATACACTAATCACCAACACTGCTGGCAGCATTTTGAATGAACAGCAGAATCTTTGGATATGAACAAAACCTATTCTGGATACCAATATCCTGAGGGGTTGATATCAGAATCCTCGAATACGGGCGAAACTATGACCCCCTGTAGGAGCCAATAAAAGTCAAAATGGCAACGACAACAGGGAAGAATGTAGAAGCCGAAAATCGAACCAATGTGCATGCTAAGAATGGTTTCAACTTGTCATCAATGAAGGTGGTGATCCTGAGAGTCTTCCAACAAAGTTTAGTGCTAGGAAAACAACACATTGGATGTTACAGTTGCAAGTCCGTAGACTTACCACTGTCACACCAGGGGGCAGTGATCTATGTGGGTTAACTACATACTCTGCCTTAGAAACCATAATTTTGAGGAGCGCATATATCATTCGGAATATGCTTCCACCTGGTGGTGGTAGGCTAAATCATGTAGTTCCAACAACAGTGGCAGACGAGGCATAGCTGTCCCGTTAAGTAAGTGAGCAGTAAACCTCCCTGTATGAACTACATTGTCTGTGGATGGAGATAAAAACTGAATATTTGCTCCCAGACCTTACAGCCATCAAGTAAGGTGCAGCCTCAAAAGCAACTGGGGAAAGACCCAAAACATCACAATCTTGGTGGACCAATTGAAGAAAGCATATCAGCGGCAGCTTATCCCAAAGTGGCCTCCCTTTTTATTTTATTTAAAGACTATTCTGATTACCATTGTTTGGAACAACATTTTGTCAGGTGAGTTTGTTTTGTTAGAGCAAAGTAACGTTGGGCTATCTGCTATGTCCACTATAGGAAATCAAATGCTGGACTTTACATTGTTAGTCCTTAAACTTACCACAGTCCTACAGGGAACTGAGAAGCCAATGGGATAAAAGAGGGCACAGGAAAAAGCGAATCGCAATTATCTCCAGAATGTTCAGGATTGCCCTCAGAGTGCCCTGGAGGAACAACACCAAAGCGAATATATATCTCACTATGATTAAGATCACTGATGGTCTCAACCGATTGTTTTGCAATGCTAGATATTAGAGATGGGATAGGAGTGACCTAATTTGCTTCTGAAGTTAATAATTTGCTGAAAATAATAATCTGGGAATTCATACCGCATATCAGCTTGCTAATCTAATATATATATATATATATTACAGAAATGGGTTAGGCAACACGGAGAATGCTCAAAGTATCTCTGAAAAATTGTAGTACTGAGATGAGAAATCTATTAGTGACACTTTGTCGAGAAAAAGTGCTAACATTATTTGAATGAGGTGCATACATACAGTACAGGATAGATGCACATTGACATAGGTGGAGAGTGTCATGAGACAAATATTACCAAGGAAAATTAAGTAGGGTATAAAAGACTGGAGCAAGCAAGACCAATGCTTAGATGAGCAAAAGAAGAAACCCTGGCAGTCGAGTAATAGCTGTAGTGTGAGAGGAGGTATGTATGTTTTAGAAACACTGTTCTTGTTAAACATAACAGTGACCATTTCATAAGCCACAGTTAACACCGGTGGTCACAAGACTTTATTTACTGAAAACTTTATTCTTGCTAAACATAACAGTGACCATTTCATAAGCTACATTAACGACAGTGATCACAAGACTTGACTTACTGAAAACACCATTTCAAACAGTAAACAAGCTTTAAGTCACAAGTGACTATAAATAAGCTAGCAGTGATTTGAATCAGCTGTGTAAAATAGTTTGCTGTGATAGTGACAGAATAATCATCATTATTTTACAGTTATATAGTAGCTAAGAGAGGTTTAGCAAACTTTTCACGGGAATTTTGTAGCAATTTTAGGTTCTGAATTTTGAGTAAGGTGCCACAAGCCCGAAAACAGCACTCTAAATTAAAGTCCATAGGAATGTGAAGAAGAGGATTCAAGCACTCAAAATAAAATGCACTACGAATTACACGAAGTTATTAATAATATGACATGTATTTCAACAAAATTTCAAGCACATGTAGTAATTCCAAAGAAAAGTCTCACTACATGCCAAAAAATATGATATTTTCTAAATGATGGGTGTGCTGCAAGTTTTTGATATGTGTGCCAAGTATGGCACACATGTTGTGGTTTGCCTGCTTCTGAAACATAGCAAAGCTGATTAGCTGTGAATAAGCAGTAGTTAAATAAATAATTTAATAATTTGAATTGTAGTGGTAAAATACATAAATATTACCAATATAACTCACTTTTACAGGCATTGGTCTCTACACCAACAGCAGGTCTCCAAGGTAAGTCATTATAGAAGTCCTCACACTGTTCACAGTTTCGTCCCTTTGTGTTATGAGTACATTCACACTGACCATAGACCTAGGAATTAGAATATAAATTTGATTCCTACTTTTCCATCGTGTACTTTTATTAACAATTAACTTTTCAAATATTGTATAATACTAAGAAGCTCCCAATTTGCAGATAAGATTCTTTACAACAGATTTTACAAGATGTCTCTTGATGTTTTACGTTCAGTTGAGGTTTTCTGTAAAGCCAATAAGTTGGCCTTTATGAAAAAAATGCAATAAACACAAATTTGAAATGTGTTACTTTGAAAAATTGTCAAAAAATAGTATCAACCAAATTTTCATTACTGCAAGTATCTACAATCTTTTCAATATTGTTGGGTTAATGTTTGTACATAACTAACATTTTGAAGCAACAATTATTTCAAAAGAGCTTTTGTTTTCGGTGTATGTAAAGTTTCAGCTATCCAGTGTCTGTTTCAAACTTTTGGACCTTCTGCTGTAAATATTGTAACATGACTATAGCAGGCAGCTTTTTCTGACCTTCTGCTGTAA